TCACTGTTTTGTGCTTACTTGCATGGCGTTCTACAAAGCTTTGTTTTTAGCTACAATTTAAGTGACTTTCCTACTTTTCTACTACTCACATCCAAGTGGCCGTTAAAATCATGAAATACTGGGGTGGTGGTGATGCGTAAATCGCAACTTATGCATTTAACCTCGATCGAAAAGAGAACAAATTTTCATTTCGAAAAGTATGCTGGTTGAAACTTGGTAGAAATAGAGAAGCGGCGCAATTAAAAAAGAATATGGAAAGAAGAAATACACACGGAAAATCCATTTTTTCCGATAGGATACCTCCTTTCGCCTTCGGTGACTGATAAGTTTGGTTGTTGGTCTGTACACCATGCTCAACATTTGAATTGCACCACCAGTTGAGTTGATGTTGCCAGTGCGGAGCTGAGTGACACCTTCCCCCAAAATATCCGACTACCGAGCTCGGCGAACATATCCGCAACCAAGCAGCCCACGCGAGCTAACTAGGCACTGCAACCTTCTCATAGAAGATGCCAACAATCGTAACGTGCTCTTCATTTCTGGCACATTTGTTTTTCCGATCAAAGAGGCGCAAACGCAGTGAATTTCGGGCTACCGACAATGCAACGGTTCAACACATCCTAAAGTACACACTGAGGCGGTAACTCATCAGTATATGAGTATGTGAAACGGCATCAATTGAAGGTATGCCGTATAACAGATGCAGGTGAACATTCTACAGATTACGGTTTTTAAACACAACTTTCATGGGATTATTTCATGGGTAGGCGGTGTGTCAGAGTAAAACCTGAGAGAAATATTTACATGAAGCGGGGACAGACACAAAGCTTCCCGATAGCAATTTCACCGTTATGGGTAATAAGAACTCATCGACCACACACAACATTGAGGAGCTCCTGTTCGAACGGCTCTGTCTGTCATCACCACATTAACTGAATGCACTACCCAAGGATGACTTGGGTAGGCATTTTCAAGTCAGCTCACGTGATTGTGTCTCGACTGAAATGCATTCACGTTGAGTGGCTGATGTCGATTCAAATACATGAAAAAGGAAACGGTTTACTTACCAAGGACGGACTGGCACGCGGTTACCAAGCAATCGGCGGTAGAGAAACTTGTGCGCAAATGGAACTCAACCATCTTTAGTAATTTTATGCTGCGAACAACGAGTCTAGGGCAAAATCACGAATCTAACCAGCTTGGGCCACTCGTATGCGTAACAGTGATAGAGATACAACCTTTCGAGTAGGGCGACCTTCTAGTGTTATTTTTCACGCACTCATTGTATGTTTCATTCTGGTCAACTGGCTGTATTTTGCGAACTCTAACGGACTACCGGTTGCGTTATTTCCTTAAAAAACGTATTGTACACCGAGGAAGTCAATTCCAAGTGCTTGCGTGGCGAGATTAGGACGTAATCCTATCTTGCAGAGACGGTCAAAATAAAAACCTAGAAATGTACTGGAGAGTGTTCAAACAAGATAGAACGAATGAAGCAACCGTTTATCACATGGTCAGACTGATTGGACTCATCAGTATTGTGGGAGCTGCACGTTTGTTATCACGTCAAATCTGGATTTTAATCCGAAAGTAAAATTTAAACATGACTGAAACTGAAAACTTCCATAGAACTGCCTCCTTCTTGTGATGGAACAGCTGCGAATGCCTCAAAAACCCAGAAGTATGACAGTCACTCCATCAGGTCACTGGAGATGTATCATCGGTGTGGTCAGTTTATGTCTTGACAATAACTAGCGCTTCATGTCGTTCGACCATTTGTTCTATCACATGATCTAATATTCACATGAAATTCGACAACTTATCCGGGAATGCCTCAAAGGTCCTCAGTCATAAGAGCTCTGTACATTCGCAAATGGTAAAGAATCTGACATAATATTGACTGGGCAGTTTGCGAGTAATACAACCAATTCGCGCAAACTGGAGGTTATTAAATAATAGGCTTGTCAAGTGCACGTTTTATTCTGTCAGTGAAGTCAATCTGTGCTGGAAAAAAAACAGAGGAGCACTGTTTCAACCTTTTTGGGCGTCATCAGCAGTGGGCACCTCACAAAAATCCAGAGTATCGAACCTAAAACCTCCTGGTTGGGCAATGAGTAGTTGATGAGCCTTGTGATTAGGGCGATGAGTACTAAGGAGGATGAACATACTGTACAGTCCATCTTGGCTTCTCAGCACAGATTGACTTCACTGAAAGGAGAAAATCTCCACCGAAATCTCCAAGTCTCCTCAGAGTAGCAACAAAGTAGGCCATGTTTGCACGTAATCCACGTCAACTGGATGTGAGATTAGGGTTACACGTGTCCGGTGTGGATGAAAGCGCTTTGAATAGAATGTGCCGCCGCGTGTTTTGAACTACAGCCGCAACTGGGTGCCCATTCGAATGGAATAAAAGGATAATCTGCCAAGGCCTTGGATGTTGTTAACCGCTTAAAAAAACTTTCCAATCAGCTCTGTCTTCATGTGAATATGACAGACCGACAAGGCGAGTACTCCAGATTTTTGCCACCTGAACTGTGCGCAGTCCTGAGACACTACTCTCATGGGGCGGCCGTTTTCCTAAGCAGATTACTTCGTTCGCGTAGTTGCTTCTATCGCACTTCCGGACCTGGACATCACAGGCGTCTTGTCTTACTGATATCAAGCGCTATCTCCTTCTCCGTGTTACTTGAAATTCAAAGCACACAGGTCAAAAGGTTTTAACTATGTCAAAAAATGGCGCTCCAAATAAACATAGACCCGATGCTTCTGGCGGGCAAAATTTTGTCCGTCTTTTTATTCACGTATTTCTTAAAACAACAGCGCAAAGCATCAGCGTATTCGTATATTGTAGGTCGTCGCCATCGGCAGATCCCCACTGTCGGAACTTCCTTATGCGTCTAGTGAATAGCCTAACACTAACAATTACAAGTCAGCTCATGTCAGTTGCTGGGGCAACTTTTCTGTTTTTTTTTTTGCGGTTGTGTTCCGCTGATGTGTTGACAAAACATTTCTTCAGTTGTTCCAAGCCACGCATGAGGTCACACTACTGAAACAGATGCAGAACCAGACCGCTTATGAAAGGCACCGGATTCTGCGCTAAGCATTCAGACCAGCCTCGAGAGTTGCGTCAAAGAACGTTTTCGTGTGACGTGCGAAGGGGTAAATTTGCATTCTGCACAGGACTTGAGAAGGTCACCAAAACGGTGAGTCTGTAATTACAGGATGGGCTCCATTTTTCACAAGTGTGTCCTGGAATCTATCAGAATGCGCCCAGCGCTTTCTCTGGAAGAATGTTCATGGTTTTAAAAAAACAATGTAGGTCATTGACACTACCGTCATAAAGATCAGCCCCTTTATCACACGCACTGAGCTCTTCAAAGTGATTCAAAGACTGACAAGCCGGAGGTAGATGAAAGAACATTTCCGGTATCTTGCTCTACCCAACATCTGTTGACCCAGATAGGGTGATAGGTGTACTGCCTCAGCTTTTAGAGGCAGTGGCTGAAGTCGTGACGTTCTTTGACGATTGCATTCAGTTGCAATTTACAGACAGCCTGGTTTATGGTGACCTCGGACACTGATGACGCGTTTTTGTTTTGGCGGTTGTTGAAAAGCTGTTGCGTTCTCGCCGAGAGTTTGGACGCCTAAGGGAAACTTTATCTAACGCTAATGGAACAATTGTTCTTTCCGAAAATGGTGATGTATGACGCTCCTTTGAATCATCTAGTTTCAGAAGGTGAGCAGGTGTAGGCGGAATATTTTGGAGATCTGACTCGCTATCGAATAAACAAATAAACAAATAAATCATTCAGCTGCGGTGCATAGCTGCTGTGCACTCCGAACCACGCATAAAGGCCGAACCAATGGCTGGATGTCGAAACGATTGGAAAGCAGTGGTTGGTCGTGAACCGCAGACGTTCTGGTCGGTAGAGCCGCTAGTTCTTCAGCTCAACGACACTGGGGCAGTGGGTAACTATGTCGTTACACATCAGCCTACCAATTAAACCCATCACTATTTATGTATATTACGGACTGGTCACCAACAGAAACAAACAAAGCAAATGCTTCAGTGATGAAGACTTTCTGTTTATCACGCCGCTTATTCCACGGAAACAGACTTCATGCAATAACTTCAGCATCTAATCCACCCAAATAGTACTTATTCTCGTCAGTAACATGATATGAATCCTTTGGTTATTTCGGTATGAATGCGTATCTCCTCTAGCTTAGTATTGTTGAGTCTGAAGCCGTAGGTGTACAAGGGACTGAATCATGAAATTTCCCTTCGGAAAGGAAGCAGCCTCGAACACTTTTTGTGCTGACATCCAGTTTTTCTCGTTAAAAAAGAACTGAGCTGCCTTTTTCTCGTTTCATTGAAGCACTTGAGTTCGTATTCACGTATTTTTGTGACTCTGATGATTCCTCACTAGACGACGAACTAACTTCGAGCACGAAATAATCGATAAATGGAGTGGGTCGATAAACCAGCAAACGCCAGATGGATCCGTAGACGATCAGTTTCTATCACAGTAATGTTAACCAATGAGAAACACCAATTTAATCATTTTCGGGAATGTGCTGTTCTGAGAACTTTTCAACACCTGTTCGATCGTAAAGTCCATGGAGTGTCACTATCGAGCCACACAAATGCTCGGCGGACAGCGTGTTAGCCCGGAGTGGTCCTCTAATTTTCTCGTAGGAGGTTTCTGGCTTTCATGCAACTGCCTCCTCCAATCAGTGCCTGGAACCAAACCGCTATTTGAGTACTTTAATCTCACCTAGGAAATAATGCGTCCCAACATGAGATGGAATTCCTCTTGCTGATAGGCTGCGTACGGACCAGACGCGGGCGGATAATCTAGAGTTTCGTACTGAGCGCTCCAGTTGAGCAAATACAGGTGGCAGAATGCCACACGCGAATCCTTGCCAAATGCGGCTTGGGCTAATCGATCGAGAGTGTAGAAAATCAGCTGAGGGAAGAACAGACAAGTATCCAAATTTAGCTCTTGTAAAATGTAAAAAAGCTTTTGGAGAAAGGATAAAATGATGTCGCGGAAACATATGGTCAGAAACATCCTCACGGTGTATCAAGGCAGATTTTCTCGTTATAAGACTTGATTAACACAGAAAGTTCAAGTTTATCATGAAAAAGGCTTTGAGTGCTTAGCGAATATACACTCATTTGCAAACTAATTTGGTTTTTTGAGAGACTCACCTGGAAACAAGCTGAACCTCTCGGTTTTCATGCTTCCAAGCAAATGAATGTGCTGCACCAGGCCGCCTCATGTTTCATTCACTACGATATTTGAGATATCGCGATACATATACATTTTATAATACACTACTCATAAGGTTTCGAAAAACTCCTCGACAGCCCACGCTCTGAGTTCTCTTTGCTTGGCGGTCAATAACACACAGAAGGGCGGCATTACAAATATAAAATATAACTACTCAAAATGGCTATGAACTGTTTTTTTGTAGTCCCAAAGAGGACAATCGTTTGCTAAAATAGATATGATCAAGGGTGTCACTAGTGAGAGAAAAACTAAACTGTCTTTAAGAAGAAAACTCTTTTCCAGTAATGCCATTCTCTGAAGTTCATTTATTTGAAGGATACTCAGGACAATTGTGAAGACCGGTACAAGTGGTGCAACTCAAAAGTTCCAGTGACACTTGATACGTTCACCGATCAGCTGTCTACCTCGCAACTTTCAGTCATCAGGTGCGAAGAAAAGACCCCTAGCAGTTTTAACTGTGAGCAAATTTGGATGGTAACTCGGCCATTTCAATTTTTCGTCTATTTAATTAACTGCAAGATTATGAAATAAACCTTGAGTTTTACCGCCCAAACAACAACAGATCAACTATTTTTGAGATCACTGCAAATAAATAGCGGATTTTGACGCAAAAAATAGACAAGCTTCAGCTAATGCATCCGCTTGCTTCATCTTACAACTGTGCCTCCTGATTGCCTCTCTTTAGTTTGGGGACGAGATGGCTCAAGTGGTTAGAGCGCGAATCTACTGACCGGAAGGTCCGTGATTCGAACCGGACCTCTGCCTCTCGACTTCCCCTGTCTAGGCTTGGGCAACCTGGCAGTATCCCAGCCCTTGTGCTTCCTTCAGGGGTAGCATGGCATCTAGGTACCGGTTGGGTGTTACAACTGGACGATTGTCTCTCACAGTAAAACCAACTTAAAAATGGCCTCCGATGTGAATATGAAATGAACGATGGGATGCCATAAAGACGAAAAGGCCAGTGATGCATCTAGTTCTGGGCGTGGATTAAATTGTCCCCTTCAGTTTATTAAAGAATAGTACGACATTTCACAAACGATTTCTCCTCAGACAGTTTTGTTAGATTTTCTGTTTAAAACATGTGCCGCATTCATTGAAGTATGACCTCTGATTCTGCACCAATATCTTTCAATCGATCTTATCGTGCCATGGTTCATGAACTTTAGATCCCCTGCAGTTCCTGAAGTACAAATAGGAAATTCTGCTTTAAACCGCTATCGGGATGCTGAGCCACAGTGTGTCACTAAAAGATGGAGGGGAATCTTTGTGTTTCGCCCCGATTATCCGTGGGCATTTCAAACCATGAGCATGTTCCAGACAGTTGGGGTCAATCGTTGGTTGCACCCATGTTCATAAAGGTGTCCAATCCAACTCTCCAATCACAGGGGGATATGTTTCATGCCTGTCCACATATGGTTAGTGGCTCCCCTCGTATTACGATACTCATCTTAGGTACGTGGGGTCAAGGTTCGACGGCACAAAGCAGGATTTCTAACTGATAGAGACCGCACTGACCATACCTTCAAATTAGATCAAATGCTTGAACAGCGCCGCATATAAAGCCGGCTAACAGTCATGGATCTCTCCGACTCTGTGGAAGGACCAGCACTCCTAATAGTTTTTGGAAACGAAAAAGGACCCTAAAATTCGAAAGCGTTCTTCGTACCCCACATTTGTATATACATGGTCGGCTTAGGATGTGCGTTAAACTTTTCAAAAGCCTCGTGACTACCAGTGGAAGTCGTCACAATTATCCACTCCATTCTTTTTGGTCATTTCTGCCATCGATTTCAATGAACTAAGAATACATGCATCGAAGTCCCATTTGAGGAAAGACTTTTTACTTTGGATTATGCGGACGATAGGGTTATGTTACTCTTCTGCTGGAGACGGTCCCATATTTTGCCCCACATATTGCACCTTCAGACTGCAACTTCGTCGGAAATTTCGTTTCTGGAATGAAGACAAAGTCAAGTCGTGTGTACTCAGGCTGAGTAGCGACATTTGTGGCGTCAGAATCGTATTTCGCCCACATGGTGTAAATTTAACGGTGGCCTCACATTACGGTTGTAAGAACTTGACCTCTGCACTCCATTGGGCGTCTTTAAATCTTTGAACACTGAATCCACCCTTGCTTAAAAGGACCTAGGTGACTGTAGTGAGAAGCAGTGTGTTACCGGGCTCTCCGAAATGCTATGGCATCAGGTTAGTATGATCATGTTATGGTGGTCCGGACGTGTAGTAAGCCTACCCAACCAGTGTCCACCCAAAGAGTGCTTTGTTCTAAGCCACTATTGGCGAAAAAGTTCTCGGAGGACAGACCATGAAATGATGAGACGAATTGAAAGTGGGATTTCTTTGCGTCCTCCTGATCTTCCTTGGATGTGGCTCAGAGCTTGGAACACAACCACCTATCGATGAAGCATATGCTATCACCTCCGAGCCGGACTGCGCTGGGCTTACCTCTGTTGAATTTCGCAAAGGTGGCTTGGTTAAGACCGCTGATTTTGCCTTACTTCGACATGACGCTCAAATTTATTTATTTTAATGCTGTCACATGGTGCAAACAACGTATTCCTGATAGTCTCCCTTGAGCACGTGAAACCTCTTCGCAGTAGGTAGCCCACACTTTTACCGCTCTTTACCAAGGTCCTCTTCCATTAGGGTTATGCGGCACCTAAGCATCAATATTCACTCCTGGTTTAGTGTAAACAATGATAATGCTGAGGATGCGGTTGACGGTGAACCGTATCTCTTTTTCATCTGACCACAGAAGCCAAAATGGGAAACGTAGATGTCAATATTCACTACTGGTTTAGTGTAAAAAATGATAATGCTGAGGATGCTGTTGACGGTGAGCCGTATATCTTTTTCATCTAACCACAGAAGCCAAAATGGGAAACGTCGATTGACCCGTTATGAGAATATTTGAGTTTTATACAGGCTACCGGCAGAAACGCCCCTATCCAACCCGATCCCGACAATCAGTCCAACCAAACGGAGCCACGTTGGGTCGAAAGCTGCGAATGGCTGAAGTTTGCTGGTAAACAGTATGTGACGCCCAAGTAAGCGAAGAGTGTGGCCGATTTCGAGACAATGCCTCATTCACATGCCGGCCCACAAGTGCAATGGTGCAAATGCGTTCACCGTGTGTTTTGTGTGATCGTAAATTATGATTGACGGAAGATGAGAGGTGGCTTTATGTACATGCAGATAAGCGTGTAACTGTCATGAAGAGCATGTTGAGTTTGTTATGTCAGATAGCCGAGGATAGAAAATAAACGAGTTTGGTGCTTCTCGGCTATTTTCCCAGGAACACAACTGAAGGGGTTGTTTGTCAACTGAACCCAGTTCAGGGCGAGTAACAAAGACCGGTGGGGAATCCTTGATCCGTCCGCCGTAGTGAGGATAAGATGCGGTTTCTGTGATTCACCTGGAAATCATCAAACTGAAGGTGGACGCCACCCATAGGTTTGTTGAATACTCTTCAACAGCCGAATTCGTCCTGCCTGGGGTTCACCAGGGAGTTGAAGTCTCCACGTTTCCATCAATCTCGTGTTTTGCTTGAAGCCAAATAAGAACCTCCAATTAACAGTTTACGCCATCCCACTAACAGTTACTCAATACGAGTACAATAGCTCTTGGATGTGAAGCAATTGTCTTCATGAATATAAGGTTCGAACCTGAATTTATTAACTAGTTAATTTCATGCATATAAGACCAGTAAGACGTTTGAAACTGTAGACTGCAACACACCGTTGATAAGTTTGGCGGCATCCGAATTGCCAGTAATATTTTGGAAGTGTTCACTATGCGTGTTCATTATGCGGGGGGGGGGGATGACATAACACGAAGTTTTGACCATTAAAAGAGCGCCAAAACAAAGCTTTGTGTCCAACTTCTACACAACTACTCGTTAACAGTGGACGAACAGTGCAGTCAGGTGAATATCTGGGCCTAGAAAGTGATCGAAGCAATGTGGTAAAGATCAAAGACCGATAGTTTCTTACAACATACATTGATGACGAACTGTATCAATGTTATTCAGCATAGATTTCTTATTGCTTTAATCAAGTAATAGTGCGTTTTCATGAAATGGGGCACAAACATTACAAAACTGACAGACTTGTGAACAGTTCACACAGTGAGGCTTTAAAACTGAAAGTGAGATTCGGACATTCTTCATCATTTCAGCTGGCAGATCCATTTATGATCATTCCAAACTGATTGTCTTCAGAATGTGTGAACCAGTTGCTGTAGGATTCCTTAAAAATAATGGCGCAACATGCGATTGGTTTCTAAACCAAGTCACACCTGGCCGAAAAAGTTGCCGAGAAGGATGCAACTCCAAACTTCTGGGATCCCATCTCTGATGAACGTTCATCCGAAATTCGCAATCATTAGCTGTAGACATAGGTCAACGTATATTGATACAATCTGCACCAGTGAAGCATTTCGAGGGAGGGTTTTCAACGTTAAAAAAATGAAAATCAGCCGACTGATATCACGAAAACTAAAACAAAAAAAGTAACCCAATTCTCTCACTTCCATGTATCGAAAAATGAAAAAAAAAACTAAATCGCCATTTCCACACCGTTTTTCAAATGATTTAAATTTTACGCTATTTTGATGTATGACCCGTGCTCTTTCAACCTTGCCAGAGAGCGGCACTGAAAGCTGTGGAGCGTTTTACGTATCTTGGAAGTCGTATTAGTTCTGACTGTAGTGTGAAAGATGAGGTGAATGCACGAATCTGCAAGGCTCTGATCGCGTTTGCTAACTTGAGACACCTATGGCATCAGAATGGTTTATCCCTGAATATCAAGGGACGTGTGTATCAAGCTACAGTACGGGCTGTTTTGTTGTATGGCTGTGAGACTTGGCATATTCGAGCAGCGGAACTGAGGCGTCTATCCGTAACGAGGCCGTTAGAAAGCGCGTTTTCGGTTGTGTAACGGGCACTTCCATTGAAGAATTTGTCCAGCACCAGAAGCTGCGTTGGGACATGTGTTGCGCTTGCCTAAAAGAGTGCCGTTTTCCATGCCTGACTTAGAGTGGCGAAACCAGTGAGGTGGCCAACCCTTGACTTCGCAGAATAGTATGAAGAAGATCACAAAACGCTTGGTTGCTGTCGGTGTTACTCGCCTTCTAGGATGGGGACCGCGTGATTCTCACTGCACAAAATATGGCTGCCAACCGATGTCAGTGGGGGTCTTTTCNGTCATTTTCTATCCAGATCGCCCGAGTGAGTGTCTGGAGGTACGGGCACCTCGGGATAATTGTGGTAAGCTAGCACTAAGTCCCTTCCCTGTCCACCTTTACTCTTTTCTTTACAATAAGGCTCTCAAATAAGTCATGGTTGTACGGCAGCGAAGAATCAGTGTTGAAGACTGATGTCATGCTGTCGATATTGGAGTTGATGATTCTGTATAGTGGTGCTTGGAAGAAATGGACGAAGATATTGAAAACTACTCATCTGTAGGATTAGTTTCGGAAAAACTTCAGTCTTTTATCGGAATCTGTTTACCACACTGCCTAAGCCCACAATCAGTGATCTCATTCAGACCATTCTACTAGAAAAAGCGAATGGAAGCAAATCGGTACCCTCTGCGTAGGGAGTCGCACGTCTCTTGAATCAGACCCCCCTCCCCCGGGTAAGGCTGATCTCCCACAATATTTTTCCAATTCATGCGGACTTTGGTTGACACAGTCTATAGGGCAAAGTCGGTAATCAATCTCCTGAATAACCAATCTGTTGCTTGACGCTCGACTCACCTGGATCGTGACCGCCACCACTTTAATCAGTTGTACAAATAACTTGTATGGAATCTGTCCCTTGGCACGGAACTTCTGCATTGGTGACATGAAAAAATAGCTCAGCCGCCGCCCCATCCAGTTGGGAATCTCGGTGTCCGAATACTTCCTTCCCTGCGAATCCGATTCTTCGTTGACTTCCAGTATCTCCGATTCATAGCCATCGGGGAGAAGAGGATCTTAAGAGCCGGAGAAGTCAGGCTGAGGAGAAGTGTCCCAACCGATTTGAGCTAATTGCAACAGTCTGGTCTCTAGTGTCGTGGTTACGTGCGTGCATAACGAGTCGTTGACGTCCGTATACTCAGAGGACTGTCGATCACGTATGAACGAAGAAGTATGGGGCTGAGTTTCCAATGGTACGTGGAATTCACACGCTTTGAGATGAATACCACCGGTTGAATTGCTGTTCTCTCCCGGAGGACTTCGCATGTTCACAGGGTTAGCGAGGTGAGATTCAGCCGAATAGTTATCACGGGACAAGTGACAACCCCGGAAATGTGAATTAGTTGAGCAGAATTACGGAAATCAGTAGCTCAATTAATCGGTCAGTTCACATTGATTTCCGATAACGAAATCATTTCATCTTCCTTGTAGCTGTTATCAGACGATAAGCAACTCGTGTGCTGTCAGCACAGTAACACAACTCATCTGTCAACTGCATCTGACGTATCTGTTATATCCCTTGCAGATACATACATGTCCCTTCTCAACATGCGTTTCGATCTTTATGGATCGATCAGCACACCGTTGTCCAATGACCAAAACAACGTGCTGATGTGCAGCCGCTGACGCTATCGAACGATGTGTTTGATGTATTCACAGTCTTCACCTGCACTCACCTGCACTCGTCTCATTTATACTCTTCTGGCTTGCATATTCGTATCCAGCAATGTATGACCACACACAAGCAACTCGCTACTTTTGAACTAAGCACACAGTATGCGTTGATGACATCAGTAGACGAGACATCAACCTCCTAGACTAATGATTTCTGAGAACGATGAGTGTATTTTGAGGTGAAATCTGTTTCGGCTACTCCAAGACCTGTTCTTAGCGGTCTACACATTCTACACTCGGATACAAAGAAAAAACAGTCCATTTTGCTATCTCCCATCAATTACCAATTAAAACGTTCATTCCTACCCGTGCGAATGCTTCATTTCGCATTGTTTATAGAGAACTGAGTTGTGAGTAGTTGATTGGAATAGCTAACTCATCGATTTTGTTAGAAATCTGCATGCTCATGTGTAGCCTGTTAGTTTGGGTCTTAGTTTTACACAATCCCATTGGAATGTGACGTGTGAGCTCAGCGTTTTATCACGTGACAATTACCATGATGATGAGTCGGGCACACCAATCATATCGCTCAAGTGTGAACACGTTCAAACCTATTCAGACGTGATAATTCAAATGCGTCCAACGTGTGTTGGTGGAGTAATGGTTACGCACTCGCCCCGCATATCAGATGTCCGGGGTTCGAATCCCGGCACGTCTATTGGATATGCACTACTGATGAGCGAAACTCGAGTCCAGTGCTTCCCTTTGGTGCGAACTGACCGGAATAATTGTGCCAGAACAAGAGGACGACCGTTCAAATGAGAGTGGGGTGACTATGAACAAAATACCTATCCCGCAAAACCTCAAAATTGCTACGAAGTTGGAGAGCATGAGACAAACTAGACTTTCCCATCGCTGCGACGAATTAGCTGTGTGTTACAGGATCAATTGCTAAATGTAGTGGATCCTAGCTGCGGTGACCCGTCGAAAACCCCAAGCTGGTTTGTGGGGAAATTCCGCTATCAAATAGTACACTCGTGAGAACACTCACAGCCAGTCGTTTCCTGGCAAACTCGATGAATGGGGTGACAGAAGTCAACCATCCTATCGTGTACACAACTCGTTACCAATTACACAAATGCTAGAAACATTGAGAAGAGCTGGATGATTCCACGGGAAATTGCAAATAAATATGGTCAGTTGCTTCGTTTTTTTGAAGGCTTTTTGTGGTGCTCACAATTTAAAATTGCGGTACTCAGAGAATACCAAAATGTAATTTCGCCAACTGTTCCAACCCAGTTTATTAGTATTCGTCTTACACCCTAGCCGAAAACGGCTCTTTTGAGGTCGTGTCGTGACAAGATATACAACCGTTCTATACAGTAATATGAGTTGCCCTCGCTAGCTAAGTTCACTATGAATAGATGGACATTTAAGCTCCATAGTCAAAAAGTTATCGTCCTGGACTTTCAACGTCCTACGATGCTATGTTGGTTTTCCTGAGCACGTGCATCGTCATCGATCTGATATCTACGACTGGGTTACAACCGAAATTGTTTTCGGCCAATTTCAGCAGCAGCGGAACAGAATAGAGTAACACTTACTCACTGTGCGTTGCTTCACACCTTACCGGTTTCGCAGGTTACTGCGATACCGATCGATAATGTACGAAGGCCGGTTTACTGTTGGTTGATCTGTTCGCCGAGCCGTTTGCCAAGCGCGGTGCAACGTGAGGCCAAACGGTAATCGCGGTCTGGGCCCCTCGACGTCAGTGAATTGGTCATGCTACAAGACCCATAACATGCGTATTAGGATCAGAGGAGTCTCCCGGAGAAATAGCAGAATAAATCCTGTGGTTGACTAGTATCCAGAGCACACTGGGGATTGACAGTCGCTCCCAAAATCACCCCAAAGGTTGTTTTTTGGCGAATACAAAAGAGTGTCGTTAAACTAGAATTATTAGGTGCTTGGCTTTGAGCACCAGGCCACTGATCACGCAGCGTCCATTTACTGAGCCACAGCACAACAAAAGGCTGATCGTCACCATCTTTAACTAGCGATTGATTTTTCACCAAATCTGACTGAGCTAGGACACGAAAGACATCCCACAGTTCCCCTTTTTGGACAATTTGAGAGTCGGAAGTTTTTATTTCTGTTTGATCCGTTCAAGCTCATTTTGAACTAACGGAGGAAAGTCCATCCCATCAGTTTCATCATCAAGATTCTTCGAGAGGAATTGCGCACGAAACTCTCTCAGAAAAAGTCAGGTTTTCCCTTCTGTTTTTCAACCGAGAACCTTTGAATTCCTGAAAATGACTTTCCACAAATTCTAAAGAGGACATCATATATCAGACACTCATTTTGCTGAACTTTTCTGGTTGATTCGTCCGCTAACCAGTTGTTTGTGCAGTGCGGGGATGAAATGCTGACAAGCCCAGCCAGTTTAGTTCTTTCATCCTGGAAACATCACAAACGAGGGATTCAGCTGGGTTCCAGGTGAGTCTCCCGAAAAACCAAATTTGTTTGCAAATGAGTGTATTTCGCTAGGGCCGTTACTCAACCCAAAACAACTGTTCGATATCACGTTTGTACCCTGTCCAATAGGAAAACAGATAGTTCTTTCTCACACCTTGTTTCCTTTTTCGATCAATATATTTTGTGTCTCCTAAATACACATACAACACCCCAGTTCGATCATGCACTTCAAAACTGCTCATTGTGGACCCATATTTCTTGCACTTTGCTCTTGGGATTTCCGTTAATCCTGACACCATGCAGTGTGGTTAGCTTCAGGCTGGATGCACCTTACTGGACTGATTGATAGTCAACTTTTCGCTCAATTTACGTCGACTTATTTGCAAGGCTACGCGGTCAAATTCACAGAGGGATATCGACGAACGTTGATTTCTCAATCCCTACAACTAACTTGTTCGGATAAAAGATTGGTTTCAGGTGGTAATCGTTGCGAGATTTTGCAGAGTGTATATTCGTATGACTCTCGTTTGAACAATCGTCCCCCTATCCTGGCGCAATCATTCTGGTGAGTCCAAAACAATGGGGTTAATGGCTGAGGTGACAGATTTTGATGCCTTCTTGAAACGAGACTTCCCACAAAATTGAAGAAAACATTTCGACGGCTCGCTACCGTTTTCACCCTTCTTTGAATCCATTATGGGGGCGAGATGGACCAAGTGGTTAGAGCGCGAATTTACTGACCGGAAGGTCCGCGGTTCGAACCCGACCTCTGCCTCTCGGCTTCCCATTATCGAGGCTTGGGCAACCTGGCGGTATCCCAGTCCTCATTCTGCCTTCTGGTAGCATGGCAGCAAGGGACCGAAAGGGTGTTACAGCTGAACGATTTCAACTTCCGATGAGGAAGAAGACCTTCGGTGTATTAGAAAATGCCAATTGACCGGTTACAGACCATTGAACAGGGAAGCAAAACTCTAATTTGCATCTTAGTTACAAAAACTGGACACCCATCTTCTCCCGAACGAGTCTTCTTGAACTTTCCTGGAGATTCATTGACTCCACTCATTTGTCGGTCAAATCCAGGCAAATTTTACGAAGTGGCTCCACGAATTCCGCAACAGATCTCCCTTTTTCAATAGACGCAAAGCGAAATTCTACGAACAACACATACTACTCGCGTGCCTCCCCATCAGTAGTATCAACTTTACACACCTCCACCCCTTAAAGCTCGTTCGCATGCCATCGATTTTCATTCGTTCATATTGTCTACTTGAACATCAGTTGTTATGCAATCGAAACTAAACAACCCTCTACAAATTATATCAATGTTAACGAAAGTACGATCCCTCAGAAAAATAGCACTCATTGATGAAATAAGTTCTAGTTTATTAACAAACAGTCTGAGATTCACAAGTAAATGACAGCGCTTATTCTTAGCTATCTTATTTCTGATTTATTGATCTGCTATGAGCAGTTGTAGCTAACGTCCTCAAATTCGGGGCACTCGCTTGAGGGACCCCGCCAACTTCTGCCACTTTCTTCTGTGAATATAAGGATCGTTGATGACTCAGTGACTTCATACACCGCCAAATATCTAGCCATGTTAAGCAGCGCAACTACCTGGATGAAGTGTATACATTGTTTGCCACCCGAATACGCACGTGTTAACAACTTGTGTCTTTAGCAAAATGGCTCCTCTGAGATTTGAGACCGGTTAAAATCAGTATTTGGATGAAACTTCAGAGCTGTGCGAAAAAAGCTTCAAATAAATTTAGTCGAGCTTACACACACACACACACACACACAAATTATGCTGAAAAGTCGTATTGNCAAATAAATTAGTCGAGCTTACACACAAAAAAAAAAACACACAAATTATGCTGAAAAGTCGTATTGATAACGCACCCGCCTACTTTGATGTGGAAATCGATAGCCAGTCGGGCAAGTCCGTAGCAGAAATGGCTTGCCCCAATTGGCGCGAAGGGAACTGTCCATCAAACGCGCTTGTACAGCAAGGAGCAAGCCATCAAGCATCATTTCATCAGAATGGATTTCCACGCAAATCCGCCGAATATTACACAACCAGAAAACGTGATTTCAAGTGTAGAAGAAACAAAACAATAAAGCAAAAGCGGTTATTGCTGAAAGGGAAACCTTCCAGGTGAATGTACCAGGCAGAAATTCATTCTCTTGACCCAAACAGTAATCGGAAACCGACGTCATTTTGCGCACAGCGCGGTTTAGCAAGTGCGCCGAAATTCGCTAGGAGTCTGACTACTGATGAATAGTTAGGAATGATACAAAACTGATACCTCTGCTCGGAGGATCAACACCATAACTTACCACCTGACGTAGAACTAGACAACAGGCCGATCGAAGGAAGCTGTCTCATTTACAAACCGTTACTTAGCGCAGTCTCTTGGAAGTAGTTCACTGCAGATTCCACGCCATGAGGACAACCAGGTTTCAGTGTCATGACCTTTTCTTGTTCATTTTATTCTGCGCTTCTGAGATAAATAAGAAAATATCGCGCTAGATGTCAGAGTGAACGAGGGATTGGGTGCTGCGAATGACGACTGATTTTTTTGGTGCGGTGGGATCGCACCCCACTAAAGCTAAATTCGAGCATCCATTTCTATCTGGCTGTAATGGTCACTCTTCAGATGATCTCTTATCTTGAGAACCCTCAGAAAAACCCGCTTCCCATTTCCTCAGTTGAGACGGAGATCGTTCATAAAAGTCAACCTTATAATCAGGAACCCTTTATATTGCTAGTCAAATCAGGGCCAGATTCCAGCATCATTGATTTCTCAAGGTCAAAAAAAACTGACCAACCAGTCATAGGGTTCGGCAGAACTCATGATTCTTTAAAATTTAGGGAGTCATTCGATCGACATTATCATCAACACGTGTGCACGAGCACTGCATCAACAAGCCTTCTGTGTCAACCGAAACTACGGTGCAAAAATGGTTGACAAAGGAATTTAGCTTGAAAAAAGGAATTAGCTCATCGATGATTACTTATCAAATGAATACAATTTTCATGGGTACTTTTCTAGAGAATAAACAGGAGCACATAAAAGATCGTTCGGTAACCAATGGAAACTGTTTTCAGCCGGGATAGATTCATTTATTTCTCTATAAGCTTCTCCAAATGAATTCCCTCATAGCCAAGGCATTCTGGGACGTAGCCCATTTCCAATGTAATGTCTTGGGAAAACAGTACACATCACCGCAGATACTTGTTGGGTCGCCTCCCCCGCATGGGCGGTCGTGAAGCAGCACCTCACACAGGCGACGGGGACACCAAAGATCCGGTCGACGGATGAGATTGTTGTAGTCCTAGTGTTCAGTAGGGGAACAAGGTGGACCAACAAGTGCATTTCCAAGGACGATCTCGAGCGCAAGGTGAGTGACTTCTTATCGTTCTGGTATTCAGAAGAGACAAGATACGAAATACACTCATTTGCAAACTAATTTGTTTTTTCGAAAGGCTCACCTGGAACCCAGCTGAATCTCTCGTTTGTGATGTTTCCAGGCAACTGAATGTGCTGCACCAGGTCGCCTCATGTTTCAGTCGCTACCATATTAGAGATATCGCGATACATGTATATACGTAACGCACTACTCAAAAGGTTGCTGAAAATCCTTCGACAACCCACGACCAGTTTCGCCCTTCTTCGGGCTCATCAAGAAAAAACCATAACCGAGAGATTCAGCTGCGATCCAGATGAGTCTCTCTAAAAATCAAATTAGTTTGCAACTGAGTGTACTTCGCTGATTTCGAGCAGTTTGGTTTCAAGTAGGACATAAGGTTGACGGAAACTCGGGGACTGAGCCTACCTGATGAGCCCCAAAGAGGGGGAAACCGGTCGTGGGCTGCCGAGGAGTTTTCAGCAATCTCATGAGAGACAAGACACGGTTCACAAGAAAGTTGGGATTAGGTACCTTGAACTAAACATTGTCGATTGCCGTGAATCCGACCAGCTCAAACCGCAATTCTAAAAACAAACTGGACGGAAGATTTCTAAAATAACTTTAGTACTTTACACCTTACACGAACGTCTATGGGACACTTCGAATTCTAATATGACTGTCAACAAAGTGATAGTGCTTCAACCTCTGAATCAGTGCATATAGCCGTCTCCAAACCAGTCGGTTTACCTGAGAAGCTGCTCACAAGAACATATTCGTTACTTGAGGGACACAAATTCAGCCGAGAATCATTCGATTATAACGGTTGCTATCTTCAGGTCGCCCATGAAGTTTTGGCGACTAATCTTAATCTCCATTTCGACCTTTCGTGGAACTCTTTAGCTCGAGATACCCAAGAGTGATTGAGGCGCGAGCTTACTACCCGGAAAGTCCGTGGTTCGATTCCAAACCCGGTATCTCGACAGCTCCAGTAAGAGGGCAACAATAGACCTTCGTGCAAGCAATCCTAGCACCAGGTACGGCTTTAAAAGGTTCACTTTTTTCAGGATTAGTGTATTAATCAAAAGCCGGAGTGTAACAGACCAAACTTTGGTCATAACCAACTACCAACTTCCCCAAATTCAACGCTTTCTAGGCCCACACCATCTGGCGTATGCATTTATCATTTTCACGCTCGCGTAGGTAGAACGAGACGTCGAACTTAATTCACACACGCAGAACTCTGATACCAAAGGGAACAATGGAGAAGTACGAGTTCATACTCAAAGTTTAAGAAGCATACATTTTTGTCTGATTCGTTCAACTTTCTCAAAGCATATGCACAACTTCACTCGCTAGCTTGAATTTCTATGCTGGCGTGTTCTTCAACAATAGAAATCACCTTACTTGATGCTATATCATAAGCGTGAGTAAACTCTGACCAGCAGCTCGTCACCGAACATTTCAGTCACTAACTGCCAGTCGGGAGGTTGCGGGCGCGAGCCTCTGAGAGATGCGTACCACTTGTGGTTTTCAACAAAGACGGAACAGTTTCACAGTGCTTCTCGGCTTTTTGACTGAGATTGACCTTGATTAAATGACGAAATCGAGAATGAACAATGCGATGTGTTAAAATGAACTCATCTGCAAAGTAGGCTAAGTGATAAGTAGGATAAGCGATAAGAATCCTAGCTTGATGTTTAACTGACAGGATACGCAAGTAAAAAACCAAGTTGACGAAGACTCATGGAGCATATCAACAAAAGTGAAAACTATACTAGGCTGCCGAAGAGTTTTCAATAAATTTGTGAGTAGTGTTACACCAAGAAAAAGGTTTTCCACCCAATGCACCATTTCAACCCTAAACTATCTGAAGGTCGCGTACCACCGGTAACTGCTATCGCACTTTAATTTCCATCCATGCTAGTTGGTCTCCAAAGCATGTGCTTGAATACTGTTGATGTTTTCTCAAAAACTTTTCCAGCTGGAACACCGTTTCGGCGTCTAGCTGCCGTGTCACCTGAAGGAAACACGAGGGCTACCAGGTTGCCTAAACCTAGATCGGAACAGGCGAGATGTCCGGATTGGGTTCGAACAATGATAAACATAACCCTGAAATAAAGGAGCCGCATGTTTGGACGCAAACATCCGCATGAATCGATTACAAGGCTCTTCTCTAACACATAACGCGTTTTGCACGATTGAATGTGACCATGATACCGCCCAGGATCTATTTCGTCGTGGCTTCATTCTGAAAGCCTAATATTTCTGCATACTTCGACATTAATCATGTGGATTCTGACAAGATTGAGTGAATACGCCCTGTTCTCGTGGTTTTCAGTGACTGGTCAAGTGGAGTAGATTCACTGGACCATGAACAATTCGTCCGGCGTCGAAGTTTGTCACCCTTCGGGTAGGCTGCATTCTAATTGGTCCCTTAACAGTTCGTGTGGCATTGGTCAGCACCAGTCAGGTGAGGGACAGGCAGGGAGCAAACGGTCATGCAGCCGAACTCTGTCGGTATCTCATCGATCAGTGAAGAAGGACCTGACAAATGATGGCGCCAAGTGAACGGTGATAACTTTGGCCGGCAGCGACACTACAACAACCACTGACCAAGTGAAAACAACAATGTGACTTTCACGGTTCCATACTATCAACAAGCTAAAAGTGACGTCGATTGGCAGGAAGCAATCCGAAGTTGAAGTAATACATTGCCAAATTTCGTATAGGCTGCAGACAAGCGGACTGACAAAAAAAGAAGTCGGAGGTTTGAAGGAAGAACAGACATTAGAAGAGAAGAAAGCCGTATCAGCAGTAGCATTGGAGGGACAATTTCGCAATAACGAACAAATCAAAACACACAAGAGAGAGAGAGAGCTGTAAAGCACTGGCACACCTGAGCGTGTCAGTTTGTTCACGGAACAGGATCGAAACGAACGAAATTAGTCGGATTCACACTAATTCGAGAACACCGGTCACGACGGTAGAAAAATACGGCAGTCGAGGGTGAACGGTTTTGCCGACGTGGAAGCAGTCTTCCATTTCACAACAAAGGAATGCTCCAAAACAGTATCGAACAATCCTTTACGGGTGGTAAAAACTAGGGGCGAGACGAAAGGGCGCTTGTTGTCCAAGCAGCGAGCCACCAGCAGGACCGATCAGACAGACAGGCAGAGAAGCATGCGGGCGCGTTTGAGACAAAAAGCAACCCAGTTGCCTAGATACAGAAGCGTAGGGAAAAAACTAGTTCCATTCTAGGACAGGAGCAAGATGGAAGAAAAGGCTTTGCTCTCTGAAACGGCGGGGAGGGGATAGAAATGGCAAAAGCGCAAACAGCGCAAAACAATACAGCCAGCACCACTACTACTACTGCATGGCTTTCAGTAGTCAGGTGCAGACAAAGTCAGCACCTTATTTCCATACATAGCAACAAAAACGAAAAGGAAACAAATGAGCACAAAATAAAACAAACTATGACCCTGTTTAGCCCGTTGGATTGCACACACACACACCAACACACACACACACAGAAAGAAGTTACGAATGACCATGATGAGTGTCGTGGTTAAGGCACAATTGTTGTCGCACCGAAGGGATCGGAAACTAGCAAGACTTAGCAGATGTTACGAAAAAACGGGGTGGGATAAGTCTCCCAAAAAAGACAACCTCCGAAGTCATAAAAATGGCGCACTACAATGCAGAGTAAGACTGAAAGCGGACTGAATGGACGAAATAAGTAGAATAACATGAGGTCTGGCGACTGAGCGGTGTTCATTGGATTATTCGATGCGCTCCACTTTTGCGACAACCTTGCCTTCCCACAGGGGTAGAAGGCAACTGTCGTTGGTGATTTCTTGGTGAACAACGCCAGAACCAAATTCGTTGGAGAGCTTTTTGAAGAAGTAGCTGAAAGAAAACAACAAAGGTATGATGAGACATTTATGCGGCTGTTCACGAGCATACACGAGAAAACCAAAGAGAGAAGTGATTATCAGTATGAAACAACCAGGTGATGTGTGATCGATCGTAACCTAATGGGTGACAAGAGACCCAAGGTCACAGTTCGTGCAGATGTATCCGGCCTAACCTATTCCAGCCTCCCTTAACCTATCTAAACAAAGTTTGCTGCTCGTGTAGGACACACTACCCTTGTATCCTGACGTTCTCGATCACATTACGGAGGAAATCGTCAAGACGCATGGAATAGCTACATACAGAAAATGCCTAAATTGCCAATTCGCTTTGAACCATGTATGAACGCTAGTTATAGAACCTTGCTGTTTCAATATCCCCACACATGTGGGGTGTGAGGAAGACCTGTAAATTTTGCTCAAAAACTAGGTAAATATAAAGCCTCTTGAGGAATCCGAGTTAGCACCAGAGGTCCTGAATTTAGGTCCGATACCTGCCTGACACTGATTGGCCTTGACACACCTCAGCTATTTTACTTCGTACGGTTTGCGTCCGAAGGACATCGAAAGCAGATGACCTGACCCTTCCAAATTTCGTTAATCTGTGGCACTCTGGTGGAGTGTTCCTCTGGTTGTGACTACGAAGGCGACTGTTGTGTATGAAAACGATGATAAAAGCTTAGTTAGTTAGAGAAGTATAGTACAATCAGTCCCGAAAGCGTGCTCCATTGTACGTTCCATCTTGATTGGGTCTCATCAGCCGGTACAGAAAAATCGATCACGTGAGACGTGCGAGTTTCTCACTACCAACCGCGACACCATGTGGCAATTGATCGAACTGGGCCAACGGTCTGGGAAGTGCACAACGCCCGATGTTAATCAAACCTCACATGATCCCGTGAAATTTACAGGCTTGACTATCGGCAAATGGTCGTAGCATAAGGTAAACGAGGAATTAAGGATGAAAAGTTGCAAAGTTGCAACATCATTGCAACGTCATTGCCAATAGTGGCGACGATGATGAATTTGCGTTAAATGGCAATGGGGAGTGTAGTATGTGAATGATATGACTAAGCCTGACGAAGGATAAAGCTTCCCAGAGCAGTTCTAGAAGGCGTTAAACCAACAGTTTAGACTGATGTACCCAGTGACCAGGTGGATGAGATCGCGGACTACCGACTACCGTAATTGGGAGCCCAACCGGGAGCTTTCGAACAGGTCTCCGGTAGATTCCATGATAAGCGCGTTGTAACTTGTGGACGATCGTGCAACTCTGTATCAGTCCCTTGGCTTCCTGCTCCGTCCACTATGGTATATCAAAAGGCACGGTAGCTCTACACAGCCTTTTATGGAGACAAGGGAAAATTATTACAACTGTATTTATCGGGTAAGCACAGGGTGTTCCACAAGGTCGTGCCAGAATCTCCGTGAGGGAGCGAGAAGCGTCGAGTCAAGGATAGTCGACTCGGATTGGCTGGCATTCAGACCAATCAGGGCATGCCTTGGTTTGGTCGGTGATCTGCACGTGACACATCCGTACAAATGATGCGATGTTCGGTTATTGGGGACGGCTGGCCTCCGAACAAAGCTGCAGGCGTTGTTTCCGAAAAGGGACGCCAAAACAAACCGTAAATTTCAGGACATTTTCCACGCCATGCTCGGGCCATGGCGCTGTTTCATTTTTAAACACCGTCGAATGCATCCGCAAATTTGTAGGATAATTTATTTCCACCAAACCATCTGGAAACTGTGCTTCGAACCGCTACTAAACCAAGTCGTAACACAGAGTTCAAGGTCATATAGGGGATGTGGATGTTGAAAACATAGTACGTGTCAGAGGATCAGTCGTTAACAGGGGTTGTAAAGAGCATTTATAAATGAATCGGAAAGACAATTCCTTAAAGAGAGTTCAGTCACCAACCAATCGACAGGATGAAACCAAAAAGCACACTAGGCTGCTGCCTGGCTTCGAAGTGGCTCAATACGGTAGATCTCCGCGGCTAGCAACAGGCCAAATGACCCGGTTAAGTTGGAACCGACCACCAGGTTCTCTTCGAAAAAGCGTACAGTCAAAGTTCGCGTGACAGAGGCACAAAATAAACCATCTGGGAACCCAACTCACCGAAAAGAACCCTTCTTCTTCGGGATTAGCTGCTTGAACTGCCCCAAGGTTATTTCAGCCGACGGCCACAGGCTACGATAAGGGACCGGGTCGTCTCCCAAATAGTAGCCAATCACCAGCGAGTGTGGGCTACCGGAACTAGGTGAACTGACGGGTAGTCCAGGAGTGGAAACGGACACCACGGATGTAGTGGTAGACGAAGATGAGACTGAATGAGGCGTCGTTATGCACGGTGGAACAGGGGAGGCAGCCACTTGTAGCCCCACAGAGCGTACTGATGATTCCATGTTAGACAGACGACCACAAGGAAGTGTGGTTGGCAGCAGTCCCGGAGAAGCAGATGATTCAACGTATGAGGACATGCAGGAAGAGGGAGAATCGGGGACCGGCTGGCTGTCCACGATGCACTCTTTACCAGGCTGTTGCTCGAGCGGAGCAGCCGGCTGAACTCTAAAAGCGGACAAGAAATAGTACTCTGTTGTTTAGGTGGGACATCAAACATGACCGAATTCTCTCGCGTCACAAGATAATAACCAGTGTTGCATGCCTCTAGTTTCAACAAGATTTCAGATACACATCTCATGAATGGCTACCAGGTTAACAATGAGATCAATTACGGAGGCGCGACTGACGTGCGGAAATGACATGAGATTTTTACGCAGTTAATGACCCTGGAAAATGTGGGGGAAAAATTAAATCATGTAAAGAGCATTTGTCGAACTTGTGAGCCACGACGTATCAGGTTCACAAGTAACCTCTATGTAGCCGAGGCTTCCCGCATGACTGTTTGAACTACATACGTTACGCCGAATCCACATGCTCGTGAAATGCTCTTGTTCCAAGTACAACGTCCTCTTGAGAGTTGTTAACAGTTATTCGCATCCAGCAACTGTGTGCAAGCCATAAAGTGCGATAAGGAATCGATCGTGGCAGCCCTGAAGGGTGAACTGAACTTAATATTGTCGGCTCAGGGTATTGAAAACTTTCGCTTTGACTAGATATAGCTCCAGTCATTTCTCAAGGGCGGGGGGGTCTTCATTCTAAGAGACTATGAACGGAGTCTATTGTTGATCGAACACCGTATGGAATAGAGATATCTTCATGTGCGATCCGGAAAGGATACAGATCACACCACAGGTAGTATCAGCTTCATCATGGGCACAAGGGAGTTAAGTGTTTGTTTGATGTTCTTGCATCGGGAAGTTGAGTTCACCGATAAATCTTACATGAGTCACGGAGTAAAAATTGGAGTCAATCAGTTAGTGCAATTCTCAAATTACCAGTCTCGTATCACTACACAACTCTCGATGGGTTGTTGAATGTGGGACATCGTCCAGACGCTAATAAGCGACACTTGATTTTGCCAGGTCAAGTTGGTTCACTCCCCACCAACAGACAGTTTGCCTTCCTATGGCTGAGCACTGCTCACGGAACATGATCATGGATGGATACAGAATGAAGGAGCCAACTAACAGTAAAGTGACAATCGTGTGGAATTGTGCACATTTGAAACAAAGGTATGCTACCTGTTGCGAACGGGCTCTCATGAGTATCGCTATGGGGTTTATTGTGCCGTGACAGGTTCCATGACCACTCCACAGGACACATGGATGAGCTACCCTCATCCAGGGAACCAGGAAACTAGCTACCACCTGAAGTTCACCTAAGAGGAGGTCATCGAGAAGCCGAATAAGGGTCCCTTGGAGGCCCCATTCAGTTTTTCCTATATCTCAACCAGGTGCCACATTGACTGAGTTCACTTCTGAAAGGTTAAAAACAGACCATTGGAAGAAACATAGTGGTCCGTGGGGTGCGCATTGCACGTCTATCGTGACCGCATTTTTAACTTTCAGGTCAGTCGTTACGAGCAGCAAAGCATTCCAAGGATAACCGTGAACAAATTAACTAGTTCTGGATAGGATCGTCAGGTTTGCCAACGGTATTTTTTGGGATCTCACGTGGGGGGTCATCAGGCTAAGTAAGAGCCAGCTACAGAGTCTGATATGCACAAGCAGAGGTGGTAAACCAGAAAACATTCAAGTTACGGTTATTTTTGCTACTAGATTAAACAGAATTAGAGTTAGCATTTTTCAGACATGTGAAACTCTGAAATAAGCACTCCTCATTCACAAGCAGCCGGGCCATTTTACAGCACGTGATATCAGATAGCAGTAAACATCTGTGCAGGTGACGAGAGAAGCTGGATGTACTGGTCGAGGGGTAAGAACATGCCTTCATATGAAAAACTACCATGCACGCAAGAAGAGAACACCTGGGAGTAATCGTGGATTCCGCATGATAGCCTGTGTCGCAAAATTCGACTATCATTACCACTGAGTAAGTCGTTGGAACCTGCACCCTTCCGAAAAGGACCCCAGGACTCCACCTCTCAGATAAGGGTTGCCCATTGGGATCAGTGCAAGTAGGATGAATAGTTCAGCTGTGCAGTTCATGCGAAGTGTGGCGCATACAATTTATGGATTGTGTAAATTCGGATGATACTGTTGAGGATTACAGCACGCCCTGACTGATTCACACGAGCTGAAACTCCGCTTTTCATCGGTTGCACAACACCCAGCTAAAAAATCGTTTACTGTCCATATCGCAGATCGAACTCTGCCAAACTGGCCTGGTACCCACCAGTCGCCATGACTATCACACGTATACACTGAAGACAAACAAACTACTTCAGATGAATGAGTAGTTGAACTATATTGGAAGATTCAGCATACGAGCGGGTCTGGCGACAAAGCCCGCCAGACATACTAACACACCCCTAGCGGATGCAGGCAAGTTGACATACTAACGGTAACAAATTTTCGTGGTTTGTTCAGGTTGACAACCATTGTAGAATCAGTCTGGTTTTGCGACCTCCACCACCACTGTACATCACTAAGACGCCTCACAAAAGCCAGGCTTCAATCTGATAAGCATACGCAACAATGAGTTAGCAAGCGCCTGGCGATCGGTGAAAACTGAGGGCGCTAGGGGCATCGGAAAGAAACTAGAGGAAAGGGGAAGGTATGCTGTAGGACGATAAATCAACTTCATCCATAGGTCTGAGTCAATGCAAAACGCAGGCCTCAAAAGTGGAATATCATTTCAGCGTCGCCCAAACTTGTTTCCGCAATAAGTTCACTGCAATCTAACAGTTGAAACAACCGTGAGTACTGAAACGAGTTAGGGTGAGCAGGCATACACAACTGGATGACAGATGAGGCGAAATATTACCAAATGCGACAGTGGTTGTTGGGTCGAAGGCCGGGTGTATATAACAATTCCACATGATCAAGAAGAGTTCAGAGTATTATAAATCACCTCTGAGAGCACAGTGATCAACTGTGTTGTGGTAGTTACCAAGCCACGTCCAATTGTCATTAGTGACAGCTCACAGATCACTCTTGAGATGACTAATCAATCACTTTATCGGATCCAAGGTTTGGAAAACCATTCGAGCAAAGGATCGTCTTAGTGCGCAAACTGTTACGTACAGAGAATGCTATTGTTATACGTCGTCGTATCATGCAGCGAACAGATTCCACCAGGAGGCCGTGCAGAAAAGCACTAACTGTATAAAACAGCGTACCCCTTGTAAGGTCAATCGTCATCTGTCAATTTACCGTTACTTGCGGTAGTTTGGACGCGTTAGTTGCTCACCAGTTAGTGCTTTCCAAACACAGAACCCACGAAATTAGCAAACGAAGGGAATATAAAATATGGGCCCGTTGTAAACTCGTGGCGTGAAAAGTATCCTAGAGAGGATCATTATTCCGAGGCCTTCCATACAATAATTTGTGAGCTTTCAGTCAAATTTCATCCGAAGCGGAACAGATACAAATTTCATTCAACTATTTCCGGTATATTTCATGATCTAATTGAAGTTTACAGTTCAGCGGCGGCGGAAGCCGAACTAGAAACCACCAGACGGGCCCAAGACCTTTGAAATACCGCAAATAGTTCTTTCACATGAATGACACGTCCTTCCGAAGCGTTGTGAAGTGTAGGCACGTGACCAAACTGTCTCAGGTTAGCTGTACTCAAGTTGATTACCACATCTTACAAAGCACTCCGATAGCTGAATGTGTTAATGCGTCTAGCCTTCACAAGTGACCGACGCAGCCTGAAAGTCAAAGGCTGTGAAGCTTGCGTAACGTGGAATAACGTTGGTGACGCTCATGTCAGTCAAGCACCAACTGCGAAAACAACAGAAGGGAACTCAGACCACCGCTTCCTTATCGGCGTATCTGAAGGAATATTCGATCAGGATATTTCCAAGTACCATTGGCGTGTTTGAGAAACGCAGAACACTACATTCGTATGCAGAAAGTGAGGAACAAATGCGGCATATACACGGGGCTGAGATGCGTCAGTGAGTAAAAGTTAGATACCGTAATCCTCTGTTTGTGTGTGTGTGTGTGCGTACAAAAATAACACATTAGAAATGCAGATGGACATAAGCAATACAAGGTATGTGGAGAATCGGGAGGGCATACTTCAGCTAACGCGTTTGAAATGGGTGAACAATCGGAATCGAACGACAGTTCTTTGGAGACGTTTTTTTTAAAACCGGATGAGAACTTCAAAAACGACGACGCCGGTTAGTTGGTCTCAGATCATTGTTCTGTTTATACAGCACATCACTTCTACAAACTTGTGCACTCATCCAGTGTGAATTTGGAAAGCGCTTCATGAAACCAAGGGTGAGCTAGTGCTGTCAAGACTTTCGTGCGAATCCAATCGGTTATGCCATTCATAAGGGTAGTGCGAACGCATCCAGTGACCAAACTGTCGGTAAGACTGCTATGTTGGAAATCCCATTAGTACCTTACGAATCCCACCGGAATGGAGATGATGGATATTCCAAAGTAAACAACCCTTCAGCTTAAGTAAGGAAGCACCTGATATGTAAGAGCAGAGTAATAGCGCAACACGCTTGTCTATAAGGTGTTCAAAGTGTAGCCCAGCAACAAAATGTCTCCTAACACAAATCTTCTTAAATCGCTTATTGTGTGACACTAATTGCAGTCACATGGGTTCTATTTAGTGCCCGATGTTAGCCACTGAGTCCTTCTCAAGACACATGCGCAACAGAAAGGAGGGAGGTACTGGTGCAGACAATCCTCGAAAACTCTGGGAGACCCACTGTCTCCGAAGTATCACATGGATAAGGTAGAAACATTGGATCAGTAATTTTGAGGTAGATGGAAAAAATACCCTTCCTCAACAGACGAACCGACCACACACTTAACGGGTTACGCTGGTTGGGCCAGATGACTGGTTGCTTTGCAGAACCCCATCCGCTTAACCGTGCGCCTGGGGCAGGAGAATCAGAGGCGATGCGGCCATGAATCGGCAACTATCAGGAAGGTCAGATTCCTGAAAGTAATTTACTGAGACCCTCAACTCCACTAGATGCTGACCAGACAGATAACGCCCGCTCAATAGGCAGCGGGTGACAGCCTTGTATTAAATCCACACAGCGTGAGTCAGCGTTGAGTCAAGGTTAGACAGTGTCCCTCCCGTTAAATGGCTTGAGGCCGTTGTACTTTCACACTCACTCGTTCCTAATCGGCGGGTCTTTTTCCGGCACTTGACACAGGAGCGGAAACAGGAGTCACATATAACAGATTGGCGATTCAGTCAGATATAACAGCAACGAGGCAAGGAGGTAATTATATCAGTCGACTCAGATAGGGACGCCGAGACAAGACACCACAGAGTTAGAGACAGACATGACCCTCTCACGCAGTCAAAGGCGGTGTTGCGCCGAAGCTACCGTCTTCAATGCATAGTAGCCGTTTCACTCCATGCTTTATCACACAAACAGAACAACATGACGTCAGCAAACCGATCAGTACGTGGATGTCACCTTATCATTGGTGAGGCAGCTAGAACCATCGTACACGGTTTACGGCTGACTGACTGCTGATGACGGTTAGACATTTTGGGACAGAGTAAAAACCTTTTCACAGTTTATGAAAAGAACTATCTGTCACAACGATGCAAGAAGAATTAGGATCAAAATGTAACACAACGTCATTCTGCAATTCACATGACTTGGTTTATTTGACGGTACTATGCGCTGAAGGGTATGAATCAACTCGTGCATCCTCTGCGTTTTTAGCTGATTTACTGGTCCCTGAGATCCATTCAAATTTGAGCCCATTCCCATGGATCCCAAAAACAACGGTATCTAGAACCCGAACTATCGTTATCGCCGCTCAGGATTGCCGTTAGAGAACACCTGGCGGATAGTATGAGCAGGCATGTGAGCATTGATTTTCGGGTAGCCAGACGATATCAACATGTGAGCCCAGTCATGACGTCGACAGCCAAGGACGTGTGAAAAGCATGCTCTTTGACAACGCCGTTGGTAGAGAGCACCGGTCTGGCAAGCGGTAGGTTGTTTGTTCGATTGGACTCCATGTATGTTCTTCCGCGCGGAATCTACTGCTCTGCGCCAATAAATGTATAAGTAGAATCAGACTGAAAACTGAAGAATCGTGCCTTTGGCGATATGGTTGATGTGAATGACCCAGATTTCACTCCCGTGAGTAACAGATATGCAAAGAATTGAAGTCCGTGTGTGAAGCATTGCAACTCCGTGTCATTCCAACTCGGCCCATCATGAAATACGACCAGTGAAAACGCCACGAAGTAAACGGAGTGTGGACGGAATAGTTATTGAACAAACAGATATGGGCTTACCCGGGAGTAGCCGCCATGGAATCGCCGGGCCACATTTCGCCCTCTTCTTTTCCAGACGGAAGTAACGCATGATGTCGCGATCGTGTTGATTGCAAGGGGTTACCGACAACATCGGAGCACCGTGAAGACGATCTGGAATGTGGTGAGTGCAGCGATCGCGGGTCATCCTCAGCTTCGTTCTGTTTCACGTGGATAATCGGTTGATGTGTCTTCAAATGGAATGCAGGATCCAGCGACCGGCAGCCGAGCTCGTACAGACGAACCGCATTGTCTGTTTCCGTCATGAGCGTGTTCGTCCCAGCGCTGCCTAAAACACCAACTTCACCACCACCACCGGCCCCTCCACTTCCACTTCCGCTGCTAGTTGGCGTCCGATCAGCCGAAGCAGCCCAAATTCGTGAACAGTGATCTTCAAGAATAGCCTAGAGGACGGAAGAGGGAGTGTCGTATGCTATGGTTTGTAGCCAGTAATTGAATAACAAAACTATCAAAAACCAATGGTATCATGAACACACACCTGGGCATTATCTCGTGTGTTCTCATGGATTCTCGCAGCCGCCAATAATCGATCTGCCCAGGGTCTTTGTAACAAGGATGATACAGCCAGACCAGATTGCCGAGCGTCAGGCACAGTAGTGGGCACGGCTACCTCAGGAGCTGCAGTTGTGGATACTGTCATACCAGCCGAAGACGCGACGGTGATATCCTCAATCGGGTCTGGTTGTTTGCCAGCAGTGGGTGGGAAGTCTGTCGTTTGATCGCCAGTTGAATGAGGAGGAACAGGACTTGTCTGCAGTAAGAAAGATACAGAAAAGGTTAGGAAACAGATGACAAACATACCTGCGTCAACAAACTGATACCAACACTATGCAGTTCCACAACTGGGGGGAACGCAATGCTCGAGAAAGAGAGCGCACAGTTTTTGCAAGATTATCAACTTCCTGAACGTTATGCAAATGGAAAAAGCATATACGGAACATGTGACCTCTCACTTGCTGGCGTTGCTCACACACATCGGCCGGGAGGCTACACTTGGTTGGGGCATACACCATAGTCTAATACACAAACAGTTGATATCCAGTGCCACGTGTGTAACTCCCACAATGGACCAATCGTTGATATGGTCCAAACAACAATGTTGTCGTTCGTTTCATTTGCAGTTGGGTTTCAAATTAGGGGTTCTTTCAAAGCTACTGGGATCCAAACAAAAGTCGTTTCGAAATATCAACAGCATCAATGTGTGGCTATTGTGAAAGTCAAACAACGCCCTCACCAGTGGTGTTAGCAGACTGTTGACAGATGTGCCGCACCACAATGTGACACGGAAAAGCATAAGTACGGCGGCAGCTGATGCCATACTTTTTTGGCGAGCGGGTTCCTTTCGGTTACATTGTGTGCAAACAACTGCGTGTTTGCCCACCTGCCTAATTCATCCGAAGTTACCCCGGCCTGCAAGTAGCACCTTATGAGGATTGGTGGGCCCAATTGCGGTTCGCTTTCTACGCGTAGGTGTCTGGTGATCCGAACAGCGCTGACTGGCAGATCCAGTGATTAGAACACGAATTTACCGACCAGAAGGTCCGTGGTTCGAATCCGACCTCTGCCTCTCGACTTCCCCTGTCTCGCCCTGGGCAACTTGCCAGTATCCCAGCCCTCGTGCTTCCTTCTCGTGGTATGGCGGTTAGGCATCGAAAGGGTTCGACAGCTGAACGACTTACTACTATCCCATTATTTGCAATTGGGAGGTTTTTGCAGGTTGACAAGTTAAAATAAGGGTACTCAGTTACACCTGTTTGACTGAATTGATTTCGGTGTGTACGGAGGCCAGCTGTCCCTAATAACCGAACATCACATCATTTGGACGGATGTGTCAAGTGCAGGACACGGGCCAAACGAAGGCATGCCCTGATTGGTCAGAATGCCAGCCAATCCAAGCCAAGCACCTTTGACTCGACGCCTCTCGCCCCCCTCACGGAGATTATGGCACGACATTGTGGAACACTCTGTGACTACCCTATA